TATTCGAGGAACTACGGCAATTCCAAATGCACATACCGATCAGAATACTCAGTGGTGAGTCACCCATTCTCGCCTTAAACCTTTCTATGGAAATTCTGATCGTATTCCAAGATGAATGGGTGAACGAATGACGTCTCGACTATTTAGAGCGAGTTTTTGAATACAGAATTGAAAAAATAGAGAGGTCTGAAGGTCTGCACGCCATCGGAGTTTCCATACCGATCAGAGATTTGAATAATTCTTTCCTTAACTCCAACATCTGACGAACTGGCAGATAAATTTTACGAAACGAACTTCCTTTCCCTTTGGTGTGTTTCAAAGGTTTTCAGAATCATCGCTATAAAGACAAATGGGTTACGTCATACGTCGTTCAGGTGTGAGTTCGAGACGATTACCTTTGAACGATACCATAGCAAAAGAAGCGTCTGACTACTGGAAATGCCTCAATCGTACGACCAAAGCAAGGTAATACCTTCAAAGTCGTCGCACTTTCGTTCCTAATATATATCGAGTTGGCTAAGCTTCCCAGGATGTCCTGTCGTACTCCTTAACAGGAAAAATTTTCGAGTTTAGCTTCTCCACTACACATATTGAGCCGTAGTTACAAAGTGATATGTGGTTATATAATGAGGGTAGAGGGAGATTGGGCTTATTTGTTTTTCGATCCCTTTTGGTACGCGCTCCCTTTAGAGTTTCATTCACAATAATTGGTGCTTCGAATGGTCTGTTGTGGCCTATTCAGCGAATTGAACGAATAATAATATATTTTAGTGAATAATAGATAAACTTCAGTATCGTGGTTCAGTCCCTACTGGTTCACTTTTGATAGGTACGTGATGTTACTCGAAGACGACGCCCTTGTCGTTCCGGAGTTTGCCAGCATGATGACATCGTTGATGAGACAACTGGACCGCAGACCGCACATTGATTATGTCAAACTGTATCATCCCAATCAACTACGGAAAATCCCGTCCATTCCAATGGTATTTAAACTTTTGCAAGTGTCTCGGCTTCTTTCTCTTGTGATTTTAATTGTTCTACTTTTAGGCTATAGCTTTATCGCTATTTATTTGCTTTATTTATCAATTGTTTGTTTTTCGACGGGTACTTTTGTTGTGGTTACTGGCTACCTCCATTCCTGTTTATACTTTTCTTCGCTCATATGGCTCCCAGGTAAGCCTGTACATTCATTGAATCTCGGTTCGATCCATATAGATCCGAGCTTATTATTCAGTTTCTGGCCGATGTACGTTATGCTATCTCAAAGTCGGTCTACATGAGCGCCAGTGAATCTTGCTGTACGCCGGCTGTGATTTTCCGAACCAAGAAAATCTCTGAAATTGTTTCGAAGCTGTCGGTGGAATCCAGAAAACGTGCTTTCCTCGGTCATGCGAAGGACCATATCTTAGACGAATCGGAGTTCGTTGGACGCCAAACTGACACCAATTTGGTGGTCCATATTGGAGCGGTTAGTTCAGTACGGAAGCGATGGATTACCCTCAATGAAGTGCTCGCAGCAAGAAATCGTGATCACTAGATGTATATGTATTCATGAACTTGTGATATTACTTTTAAGTGATCAAATTTGGATGTGCCTTTAACGAATTGCTCACAATCACATATCACACTGCTTTGCTGCTCCGTTTAGCTCCAAACTTCGGTTATTTCGGTACCGTTATCAGAATCAAGTTTATAATTTATGAGAGAATAAAATTGT